ACTGTGAATATATGTGGAGACACAGAGAAATCATATTACTTACGATTCTCCAGAAAACCAGAAACAATGAGGAAGGAAGGTGAGGAGAAGAAGGGAGGATGGCAAATGGAGGGAGGGAGAAGAGAGGAGAGTACTGTGGATATTTATATGGGAAATTGGCTTACAGGATTGCAGAGGCCAAGGAGGCCCCACAATATGCCATTAGCAAGGCGAGGAACCAGGAAATCCAATGGTATAACCATCTGGGTACAAAGGCCTAAGAACCAGGAGTCCCTGTGTCTTAGAGTAAGAGGACAAAGTTATAGCTCAAGGAGAGAAAACAAGAATTTCTCCTCCCCTACTTGTTCCCATAGACCCTCTGTAGACTGGGTGACTTTTCCTCAGTGGAGAAGGCAGGGCATTTTTACACAGTCTTTAAGAACTTCCAGAAACATCCTCGTGGACATTCTCAAAAATAATGTTTGACCTGTGTATCTTAGGTCAACCAAGTTGACACATGTTGTTTTTAGCTGAGTTGTTCTATTTACCAATAAAGACCCAGGAATCAGATGTTGGTGTGAGAAACAACAGCTGACCTTCTTTTTCAGTCAGAGAACCAGCAAGATAGCATCTCTCCATCTGTCCCAAACCAAAGGCCTGCAAATCTCTAAGTCCCTCCCTACTCCTTCCTGTGTGTTTCTTTAACTGTCTTCCCAGGTTCTCTGTATTCTCTATGGCTAAATTCTTGTCAACTAGTCACTGGCTCTGCCCCGATCCAAGATAAATTTTATTAACACAGTCTTAGAGTTTCCTAATGTGATCAAATATCCTATAACATTTCCCCCTTTTTGTCTAAATAAAAAGGAAAGGTTTTTAACTCTAACCCAATAAAGCTGTATAAGAACAATTATCTGGTATTGTCTAAATAAAAAGGTGTTGTGTTCTTAAAATTATTTCCTGTTGTCTGGGGGTGACAGCATCTTAGGGAACCCTGAGAAAATAGGGATAATGGTCAAGTCCTGGGAGAGCTATCTGTATCATTTGCTGTTCACTCTCTGTGTGAGGTGAAAGTGCAGGGCTGATCTGAAGTCCTAGCTGGAGTAGTCTATGAGGCTGGACAATCTTAGCTAACCTTTTTGAAATTACCCTGAACAGTTTGTACTCTGAGACTAATCATTGGGTGGCATTGTCAGCTTAGTGGTGTTACCACAATCCAGGTGGATTTATTGTTGCAGGGCCCCGACATCTTGTTGTAGACCTCAAAGGTCACCACTAGGCACGGTAATGGTTCACTGCAGAAAACTTAAACATTTTAAATGCCATATACAGAAGATCTCTGAAAGGTTAGAGGACCACAATCTATTAAGTACATTCAGGGTACACAAACTTCGTTCCTAATTACCTGCTTCAGACTCAAGCCGGAAAACACATACAGGAAGTTAGATGAAGCCTATTTCTAGAATTAGTTAGTAGTCTATAGAACACAAATATCACAACAGAAAATTCATATATGCATAGTAATCTTAGAGATTTAGAGACAATATTTATATCTTAAGAAAAGTTTCAAAGAGTCAAAATAAAACCAAAGGATTATGAGAGATTAGTGGCAATAGAATAATAGTCCCTTAATTTTGATTGTCCCATACCAGGTTGCTCTTTTAGCTTGACACTGAGATTCTGGATGTTCCTTGAACAAGCATGCCTGGGTTTAGAGAAGGAGAAAGACATGTTTTAACTCCAAAGCCAGCTTTGATTTTTAATCGAGTTGGAACCACAAAAAGACCATTTCCTTTTATGTCTGTAGAGAGCATCAAAAGCAAGCATTTGGGAAGATTTATGAAACCCTACCTTGCTGGAGGTGGGCTGTATCATAAAGCCAATTTATTCTTTTTCTTGGGACGTTTTTTTCTTGTTGATTTGTCCTTCTTCAGATGTTTCATTTGTCCAGTGGTCTTCAGATTCCTTAGTTGGATGCTCTTATTCTTCTGGAAAAACAAAAACAAAACCCTGACCCAACCATAACTTTGGGGAGTTCCTTTTTTTTTGTCAGGTTATATCTTTGTTAAGGCAAAATGATTTTTTGGCAACAGAAAAGTATTATCTTTTAATTAAAAATATTTGTTTTGGGTCTTTCCGTCTCGGGCCGTCATAGGGACAGAAGCCACCACCATGTCTGCGCATCTGCAATGGATGGTTGTTCGGAACTGCTCCAGTTTCCTGATCAAGAGGAATAAGCAGACCTACAGCACTGAACCCAATAATCTGAGGGCCTGCAACTCCTTCCACTACAATGGGCAGATTCACTGCAAGACTGTGGAGCCCGCAGCAAACGGCAAAGGGGTGGTGGTGGCTATGAAACACTGATCCGGTCAGCGAAAACCAGCCACATCTTACGTAAGAACCACCATTTACAAGAAGGCACGGGCCACCCTCTCAGCAGCATCAGGCACATGCTCCGAAAGAACAAGTACCGCCCCATCTGTGCATGGAAGCCATTCACAGGGCCAGTGCCATCCTGTGAAGCCAGAAAGAAGCCCGTGGTGGTGAAGAGGAAACACACCGGCTCACCAAGAGCTCCTGAGCCCTACACCCCAGAAGCAATAAAGAGTCCACTGACTTTTTCGCGTGCAAAAAAAAAAAAATATTTGTTTTGAAATTTTGAAATTGAATGTACCTTGGTATGTGCAGATAAATATGCCTATATCCCCTTTCTTCTCTCTCTCTCTCTCTCTCTCTCTCTCTCTCTCTCTCATATATGTGTGTGTGTGTATATGTATATAAATATATCTATAATACAATTCAAGGTTAAAGTTTATTTATTTTTAGATCACAAAGGACATTCATTTTGATTTTAGCCTTACTTTTAAGTGACCCTGTAGAGGTTTGTATACGAATCTGTAAATATGTCATGTTATTTCTCTAGTGTGCAAATATACCAATTAGGAACTGTATCTGAATTTTGTCTCTGGGTGGTGGGAACAAAGAGTTCCATCACAGCCACCTTGTTCACTCTAACTCTAGATTTGAAAAACAAATAACTTAAAGAGCTACACCTGTCTCTACTGTGATTAAAGATACAGGTCATCACTGCCTTGCTCAAATATTTTATTTAATCTCCAGATTACTCTGACTCTTAGACTTGAATTATAGTAACACTTTATAGTAACACTTTAGATTTACTTAAAAACTTTTAAATTACTTAACTGGGTTTTTAATACCAACAATAAAAATACCCTTAGTAAGCTGATGTCCAGGATGTCATGGGCCACATGGCAATCTACAGTTTAACATTCTAATATGCAATTAAGACACGTGGTTTAAGAAAACCCATTTTTCCTTTCATGCCAGTAGTAAAGCAATTGTATCTCTGGTAAATTATGATTCAAAAATATTATTGTTTGTCCCTACCTGCAGGACATCAACCTGGGGCAAGAGAGTCAGGGATAGGGAATGAGGACAAGAGATGCAGAAAGAACGACCACAAGACAGGATTCTGATCAAGTGGAAAACTTTATTTTTCTGAGGATAGCTTATATAGTCAGTAGAGCAGGATATGGGGAGGGATATAATGGGTTGTTTGTGCACCGGGTATTAGTGTAGGCAGGATATTAGGAAGCTACAAAGAGGATGTTTGGCAGGGTAAAGAGTTCATGAGTAAGAAGTCCTGGAAGGGTTGCCTAGGCGACTGAGCCTGTGGGTGGAGGACTGGGTCAAGTTGTTTCTTTTCTTGAGCTGAAGTTCTAAAGAGCTGCAATGTAAAGGTTAATATACAACTATGTGGCCCGCCAAGAATGCCCTAGGATCTCATGCCAAGCCCTGAGATCTTTGGCTCCCAACAATTGTTGTTATATGTTTTTATACCTAATCAAATGAAAGGCATTTGTTAGTCTTATAAGTTTGAATTGAAAGACCACGCTATTTGAGAAACTACTGACTCTCTTAATCAAGAGGTCTCTCCTATTGGAATCTAATCTTTGTCAATTATAATGGTACCCATAGCTTTTCTTTTCCCGTGGAAACAAAAGCAAAATCTCTTCTATAATGTAGCACATACCCTAGTTTACACTCTGAGGTCAACACATCTTTAAAATATATAGGCTGATTTAACTCAGCAGTTATCTCCTCTCTAATGCCTCCTCCATAGCCATTGTTCCTTTTTCATTAGCCTTTAAAAATTTAGAGTTAATAAAGCACTGTGTAATTTATCCCTCCGGATCTTTATTGCAAAATTTCATTTCTTTGAGTACCTTTTGGGTTACTTCCTACAGGTAATGGAGTTTGGGTATACAAAGAATAACAAATAGGACTTTTCCTTATCATTTCCTTGGCTTGTTGCCAAGTGATAGAAAATTTTTTCTTCACACCTTTGCTATTAACATGGTATTTCTTACAAAATTCTGAGGCTTCTAGCACATTTCCTACTAATAGCTAATCAGTTTCATCATTACCTTGTGCTAGAGGGCCTGGTAGACCCATAGGGATCTGATATGTGTTATATATAAGAGATGATTTCTATTTCTGATTATTTGTTGTAACTGAATACATAGCAGAGTTAATTCTGAATTGTTTGGAATAAGTTCAGCAATTTCAAAATGTGAAACAACACTTTCTGCAAATTGAGAGTTAGTAACTATGTTAAGGAGTTCTGGAAAATCAAATAATACCATAAGAATAGCATATAATTTGATTTCTTTTAACTGAATCATAAGGACTTTGAGCTACTTTGCTTATTTTTCCTGACTTATAACTGGCCTTTCCTGATTTATTTGCATCAGTATAGAATGTAGGGGCTCCAGGAATTGGTGTTTCTTTTATTATATGAGGAAGAATCCAATTAGCTCTTTTTACAAACTGAAGTCTCTTGCTTTGGGGATATTTGTTGTTAATCTCTCCCAAAAACTTACTGCAAGCTCTTTGCCAACATCCATTTTCCGCCCATAATGAGGAAATGTCACCATTAGTAAAGATACCACAATTTTTTTTGGCGGGGGGGGGGGGGGGGGGGGGGGTTCAAGACAGGGTTTCTCTGTGTAGCTTTGGAGCCTATCCTGGCACTCGCTCTGGAGACCAGGCTGGTCTTGAACCCACAGAGATCCGCCTACCTCTGCCTCCTAGGTGCTGGGATTAAAGGCATGCGCCACCAACGCCTGGCCAAGATACCACAATTTTTGCTGGGTCTATTCCTGCTAATTGATGAAGTCTCAATTTTCCTTTCAGAATCAATTCAGAAACCTCTTCTACACAGGTCTTTAATTTTTTTACTCTGTTGCCTGGTTAAAAACATCCATTGTAAGATATTATCTTCTCTCTGTGTAAGATTTCTTTAGGAGAATGAGTACAAGGTTAGAATGACTAGGATACATACAATCAGGCTCTGGATGGAAGCCATCCACATGTGAGTCCTGAAATTGCTTTTCTTCCAGAGAGTCACTTCTCTCTCAGCCTCAGAGGACAATTTTCTTAGACTCAGACCTCATCCCTGATTTTTCAACCTTGTCCCAAGCATATAAGGCTGCCTACCAACAGAGGGCCATGGTGGGATCTCTTAAGGGTTACCGAGTGCGCTCAAAGATGAACTGTAGTCCATGAGGCTAAGACATCTTTATTCAGGTAAACACCAGTCCAAAATGCAAGCCAGAGCGAGCTCACAGGAAGCAAGCTAGCGAGGCCAGAGAGAAGGGCCGGGGGTCTCCACATGCAGCCCTTAAGAACCTTCCCTTATGTCACCCGGACTTCCCTTCACCCCGTCCTCATGGACGTGTCCCCAGTACACCTGGCACCTGTCCAAATTGCCTGGGGCGGGGCTAGGATGTCTCCCTACAGGGATCACCAAATTCAAACTGTCTTTGCAAGTCAGCATACTGGCCTTTGCCAATAAACAGGTCTTGGAAAATATTAATACCTCTAGCCTTATTTCATTGTTCTTTGGCCCCAGCTTCCTCTCTCCACCATGTTCTCCATTATAACTGAGGACCAGCTCCTAATATTTCTGACTAAATCTTCCCAGTCTTGGGGAATAATTCTGTTCTGATTTGCCCATGAATTTAACATCTGCTTCACATAGAATGACTGTATACCATATCAAACAACCGCTTCCTTAAATCTCCTCAAATCTGACATTTCTACAGCATTCCACTTAACTCTTGAATAGCCTTAGGGTTATCTATTGTCTGCTAGTCACTCTTGTATAGTAACTGGATAGTTGATTTGGTTTTCTAATAACCTTGGGTTGCCCCTTGTCATTTTCATCATGCAGTGGTGTTGTAGGTTTTTGTCTAAAGGAAGTTTACTGCTGAACTTTGCCAAGACTAGGTAGGCCAGTCCTTCAAAATTCCTGCTTCACAGAAAAGTCTGTCAGATATTCTAGGCCTGTAGGCTGAAGATGGATGTCCCAACATTGCAGAGGAAACTTAGGTGACTGGTTGTTTGCTCTTCACCCCCGGTTTACTCAACGTCCTCTGTCACAGGAAAATTTAAAAAGAAATTAAAAACAAAAAGTAAAAAAAAAAAATACATGAAGTATTCATTAAAAACAAAAAACCCAAACAAATACAAACAGAAAACTGCTTTGCTCCTCTGTCTTTCTCATGTCTCCATCACCTCCTTACTCATGCCAGTGGCACTGGGGTTGCTGTGTATCATACAGTATACCCCTTTTTTTTTTTTTATTTTTCGAGACAGAGTTTCTCTGTGGCTTTGGAGCCTGTCCTGGAACTAGTTCTTGTAGACCAGGCTGGTCTCGAACTCACAGAGATCCGCCTGCCTCTGCCTCCCGAGTGCTGGGATTAAAGGTGTGCGCCACCACCGCCCGGCTACAGTACACCCTTTTGTCCCAACAGCTTGATTGCAAATGTTCATCATGCAGTGAGTTGCTGGTCAGGTCCAAGGCCTCTGGCTTCTGGTATGACATCAATACTGGTCCCTCACTGCATATTCTCTCAGATATCCTGCTGTTGCCAGGAGTCATGGTGATTCTGCTGATATGGTTCCACAGGACCAGTACCTTCTTGGGCTCCAGAAGCTCATAGATGGGGTAGATGTCGGGGTGGACCAACTCAAGTGTGCCTGGACCCAGACATGGTCCATGGCTGCAGCTTGGACCCAGAGTCACCATGGCCCTGGGTGGCGGTGCAGGCCATTCCCATCTGTATGCCCCTAACTACAGCATGGTCCCCGGACTCCAACATGGCTTCAGGTATCAGCCCAGACCCTGGGCATCTTCTCTGCCTTCAAGGGTTACTAGAGCCATAGACATCAACATACCATGGCTGCAGTAGGACCACAGACCCACACATGGCCCTTAGCAGCAGGAGAGCACAATAGTTTGTTTGTTTAATGTTTTTTGAGACAGGATCTATGTCTCCATGGCTGTCCTAGAACTCAGTATATCGACCAGGCTTGCCCGAACCCACGCCAGCTTCCACTTCCTGGGATTAGACATTCTGTTACTTTCCATCAGCACATCAAAGAAAGTCAGGGTACCTATTTTCTTTTTCAGCCTGCTGTTTTAATTGCTCTTAA